GTTTTTTGTCATTATTTTTTCAAACATGTTTTCTATTCCTTGCTCAGTTTCCTCTCTTTCTGGCACCCCTAGTATGAGGATGTTGTTTCATTTCCTGTTGTCCCAAAGTTCCCTTAGGCTCTCCTCCTGTTTCTTTAACTTTTTTTTTTCTAGATGCTTCTCTGCTTGGGTATTTTTTCCTACTTTGTCTTCTAGCTCACTGATGTGGTCCTCTGCTTCTTCTAGTCTACTGTTGATGCTTTCTATTGGGTTCTTTATAGCAGTGATGTCATTTTTCATTTCTTTTTGGTTCTTCTTCATTTCCTCTTGTTCTTACACATATTGTTGAATTTGTCTTCCATTCTTTTCAGCCACCTTATGACCATTTCTCTGAATTCTTTCTCTGACATATTGCTTGCCTCCTTTTCATTTACTTCCTTTTCTGGTGATGCCTCCCTATCTTTCATTTGCGGGCTGTTTCTTTGTCTGCCCATGATCTCTCTTCTCTGGGTGTCTGATTATGTAGCTCTCTCTCTCCATCCAGCACTGCGCGTAATTCTCCAAACGTCTCTTCTGCACGTCTTTTTTCCCCTGGCACTAAGCAGCCGGCACACTGGTAAAATCCGAGGCTGCTTTTTTGAGCCCAGTCCAGCTATGGGCTGATTTTTAGAGTTCCCTTCTTCCAGCAGCCCTGCAGATCCCCTTCCACCCTTGCAGATCATGCTGACCCCAACGGCCACGGACTTTGTGGGGTGCAGACTTCCCCTGTGCATGTTTCTCTCTCCAACCTGGATTGCAGAGCTCACCTTTCCCTAGGCGAAATCTGACCTTTCCGTGAGGAGGAGCAGGGCTTGTCCCAGTCCACGTATTCGCACTGCTTGAGATCCGGTGATCCTGGGTTTGTAGCTGGTCCCTGGGTGCCGTGATTGCAGGATCCCAGGATGTATACGCTTCCGATAACAGCCACTCTCCCCTTCAAGATGGCGTGGTCTCCATGGCAGAGCCGGCTGCTCCGGGAGAGATTTCCTTAAACACACTTTAAAAGGAGTCTGATCTCCATCTGTGAAACTCAAAGAGAAAACATAAATCGAATGAATTGGTTTTTCAAATGTGACCATTTTTGTCAGAAAAGGAGGTTTCATGCTGATCATTTTAAGCCCCAGTTTATGTAGAAGCGTCTCTCACCACAGGCTGGTAAGAATATTTCTAGACTTAAAAATCAATACCTTTGTGTCCTAGTGACCTTGCCATTGACCTTCATAGCCTGGTTAAGAATATGGTTGTTGCGGCCCAGCTGCCTGGTTCAAACCCAGCTGTGTTACCCACTATCTGGTTGGCTTTAGGCCAGTTACTTTACCCCTGATGTCTCAGTTTCCATGTCTGTAAACTCGGAATAATGATCACATCACTACTGACATGTAGTGAGAACTCAATTAATATTTGCTATTATTACATGGCCTTTATGTTGAAGCATGTCTCTGCTGTGTGTATCTATCCCAGCTAATGAGATTGGTCACCTGTAGCTAAATTAGTTTGTCATAATGAATATAGATCATTAGAATAGCTTTAATGAAAAAAGCATTTGAGACATAAAGGGAGAGCCTTTTCATCACAGATGTATTACATTAAAAGATACATAAGAGTCACTAAGTTTTTAACAATTTAAAAATTCAGAAGGAGATCCTTTTCCACAACCACAAACCTCTCTTTGGATCAAGTTGTTCCTTCTTCCTACATAATTCAACTCTGCTTGAAATCATATTGGATTCTTCACTACACAAGGGCAGGATTTGTCAATTGTTTTCTTACAGGTGTTAGATGTAAGAAAGTCACAAGATAAAATGGCTCAAAAAGTAAAATTTTAGCATCTTTATATTATTTACTCTAATGAATTCAACTTAATAAATGTGTATTGTGGGGTTAATATGTGATCAACCACTGGGAATTTAGAGGCAAGTAAAACAGCTTTCAGGCCCCGAGCAGGGGGGAGAGACAAAATACCAATAATTAGGCATGTCAGTGTCTACCCAGGAAGTGAAGTCGCCGTGGGGAAAGGCAGGTGCTAGGAGACCTTACATGGGATGATGCCCTGGCAAAGGGCCCCAGGGAAGCTTCCCTGAGGAAGAGATATTGGAACTAAGATCTGAAGAATGAGTGGAGTTAACAAAGGAGCGTGGGACTGGGGAAAGCATTTCAGACACAGGGAGCCTCTTGGCCGAAAGTCCCAAGGAGGGAAGAGGTGGGGCTTGCTTAGGGTACTGGGACTGGGACGGGCCACTGCATTAGAGGGTGAGTGAGAAGAGGAGCTCGCAGTTGCAGGAGAATTGTCAGCAGTGACGGCAGGCTGATTCTGCCTGACAGGGCTGGGGAGGGGAGCAGGGACCCCTTCTCCCAGGGCTTGGGCCCCATTGAAAATGGAGGCCTTTACAACCCTCGGATGGGCTCTCTGCCTTCCTGTCTAGTCTCCCAAGGCTCCAGTGACTCCAGCCTCTGCACATGCCTGCCCCAGGCCTTTGCATATTCCGCTGTCTGCCTGAGAAACCCATCCTTCCCTCTTATCCTAATTTGCCCCATCTGCCTGAAGAACTCCTGTGAGAGGCTTTCCCCTTCCTGCCCTTGTTTGGGTCCCTTATATGTACTTCCAGCAAAGTAATGATCACATAGCATTGTAAGGTTCTGTTCATGATGCCTTCCCTAATTAGAGCATAAACTGTCATCGTTTTTATCTTTTAATGCTCAGTGCCTTGTCACATAAATTTGTCACATAGCAGGCACTCATAGACTGAACTAATGAATGAATATTGTCTTATGAAATTTCTTTAAAAGACTAAACATGTGGAAATTAGCCTGGCTTGCCTTGCAAATTTGTTTTTTTACTCTACTGACATTAAAAAAAAAGGGAAAAGAATGACATCTCTGCAAGGCTATGAAATATTGTACGTTAATGGTACTTGTAAAGGAGAAAGAGTCCAATATAATAAAAGTTGTCTGAGAATCTATATATATAAAAGCCTAAGTGACTGTTAGGACCAAACGACCGGAATGACTGGATGACTGGCTGGTAGCTATGACCCAGATCTTGCTGCTGAGGCCCTGACAGCCCCGAATCTGGTTTACCCGCACCCTGGACCCAGACAGGAGGGAGGAGGGAGCCCGATTCCTCATGGAATCGGCCATTGGTTAGCTTGCTGTTGGGGCCACCCTCCACAGTCCTTCCCTGATTGGCCCAGCCCCAATTGGGACTGGGTGAGACGGCCCCGAACGGCCCTGATCACAGGACAGGCCTAGGGATCCCACCCATGCACGAATTAGTGCACCAGGCCTCTAGTTATAGATAAGAATGACTGTGTGTGTCCACATACTATCATTTATACTTTAAAATGCATTGCAAGAGTCTCTAGATTCCAGATGATGTTTCTGAGAGTAACTGAGTATAACAGAGGAGAGATGGAAAGAGAATGGGAAGTAATTTATTATCTTATCCATTTAATCTATCAATGACCAGGAAATCAATGGGAAAACCAGTTTCCTCTCTACATACCTTAAGGAAAAGCCATTAGGTTGACGTTACTGTGGTCATTCATTTGGGAACTAGAAACCCAATTCTCAGGTCATCACGGCTTGGCCAGTATTGCTTTCCAAGGACACACAGAAAATATGGGTAACAGCTCTACAGGACTTGTACCCTGATCGTGTCCTTATTGTGTTGGTGCTGATGCCCTACTTATTATTGGGAAAAATGTTTTCTTTTAAAAGGAAGACTAGAGTTGGGAGCAAATGAGTCTTTAAAATAATATCATTTAAAATTCACAATTTCAGGATCTTTATATTGGTCGCTCCTTAAATTTTATTTTGTAATCAAATATATGCACCTATGTAAATATAAAACACTATCTTTTCTTTCCTTTTCTTTTCTTTTCTTTTCTTTTCTTTTCTTTTCTTTTCTTTTTTCATTAAAAGCCCCAACTACCTGTGTGTGTGTGTGTGTGTGTGTGTGTGTTTGATAGGTTGCCTCTTATTTCCTCATTCCTACAGAATCCTTTTGAAATAATTGTGTCGTATTTAGTTGCCAGGAAAACTAATCCAGAAAGAATCTATTCAACATGTGTTCAATATTCTTGGAGACACTGGAAGGAAATTAAAGTTGTGTCATTCCTCAGCTCCACCAGACAGCCTCGATCCTTTAGATCCCAGCTTCAGGAACTTACAGATGATGAAAGCGAATGTACCTTTCCCCCTCTGTAGGTCAGACTCCATGTCAAGAAGGCGGCCAAACATGCCTCTACAATTCCTGCCTTGATTCATGTGCTGGTAGCTCTCGTTGTGACCCCAACACCAGTCTGAATAACTGTAGTAAGTACAGCAGCTGACAAATGCAATCCCCGTGGCAGGATGTGCATTCGGCTTTGTTCTTTCCCGTTGACATTGAAATGCTGAAGTCTGGGATCCCTCCAAAAATATATGTATCTATTTTCTTTTTCTTTTTTCTTTTTTTAAAAGCTTGCATGTGGTAGCAGAAGAGAAACAGAATGGTCTTAATGAACTGAAATCAGAAACAACTGTGTCGTTGTGAATGGGCTATAAATCCGCATTGCTTAATATCATTACCATTACTTTCAACTCAGCGTTAGCTCCTATGTATTATTTTCTTGGCTCCATCTGCAGGCAGATGCTATTTTTCTTCCCTTTGAAAGTTTAGTTTCAAAAATGGAAACTTTATCCAAGAAGCAAATGTGATGTTCATCTGTATAGCCGCATGAAACTTTGGCTGTCTGTTCTTTTAATAAAATTTATTCTCACCTTTCCAGGAACTCTTGCAGCCGTTATGTTAATGATTTTGTGGCGATGTAACAGCTCCAAATGGTGTGAATAGGGGGCTCTCTATACCTGGCTTTCAGGAGGAAGATTATTAGGGGAGGTAGAATGGGTAGTGGATGGCTGTGTAGATTCTCACGGGAAATTGAAAATGAATCAGAAAGACTCTGACTCTGATACTCACTTCTTTCACTTTTCATAATTAATTTTTGGTCTCACCTTCAATATGGAGCTTGAAATTAAAAGCAGGTCTGTCACTTTGAGTTGATAAGAAGATGACTTTTTTAAAAAAGATATTTTTATTGATTTCAGAGAGGAAGAGAGAGAGAGAGAGAAAGAAAGAGAGAGAGAGAGAGAGAGAGAGAGAGAGAGAGAGAGAGAGAGAGAGAGAGAGAGAGAGAGAGAGAGAGAGAGAGAGAGAGAAACATCAATGATGAAAGAGAATCATTGATTGGCTGCCTCCTGCACTCCCCACACTGGGGATCGAGCCCACAACCTGGGCATGTGCCCTTGACCAGGAGTCCAACCTCGATCTCCTGGTTCACAGGTGGATGTTCAACCACTGAGAAACACCAGCCAGGCAAGGTGACTTTTTTAGCACATACCCTTGCCGTTGAGGGCCACGGGAAACTGGAAGGTTGACAGGGTTATGGTTTGAGTCCTTGGATTTGATGCAATTTTAGGGTCGTAGTTTTACTTGGTGACCTTTCTGGGTCAATATGGAGCTTTCTGGTCAATCTGGGGCTGCCCTGTAACCATTGGGGAGTCTCCAGGGGTGAAAACAGTGGCCTGGGAAGGAATTCGAGGGAGGTAGCCACTGACAACCCAGCTGACAGGACTTTTTATTTTCATGAGCACTTAACTGGCTGAGACACAATACCCAGCCCTCCTCCACTTCCCAGGTGAGAGAACAGTGCAGATAGATAGCAGTCTTACTACTAAGACCCACTGCTGTTTACTCACTCTACACTGATTCAAGTGTGTGTGTGTGTGTGTGTGTGTGCATGTGCACATATATGTGTGTGTACACTCATATCACATATATTCTGGATCCATCGTTTCACTTTGGTTATCTCCCAACCTGCTCCAGAACTTTTCCAGAATTATTTAGTTACTTCACCTTGAACTTGAGATGAGTAATTTTAAACAGTGACAGTGTCATCTCAAAGACATATACTTATTATTAAAGTTTTGGGAGTTGTCTTATATGGGATGTCACTTACTATTAGGCTCAAAAAAGTCAAAAGAACTGTGTTAGCCTGTGTCAAATTTTGGTGAAGAATATGTTATCCTATTTTCTCTATATTTGAAATGTTCCAAAATTTAAATCTGTTATCTATCAAAAAAGAAGTTGTGGAAAGGACACTAGATGACTCTGATTTATACATTTAACCAACATTTACAGCGTGTGCGCAATGGTCCGGGCCCTGGGATGGACACTGGGCATGTTAGTGGTGAAGAAGCAGCATGATTGCTACCTTCCTGCAGGTGACTTTCCAGGGTGGGAGAGCACACTGCCACCTTCACACTCATATATACCACTTTGGTCTCTCTCTTTTTAATTTTTTTTAAATATATATTTTACTTGATTTCAGAGAGGTAGGGAGAGGGAAAGAGAGATAGAAACATCAATTATAAGAGCGACTCATTGAGCAATTGCCTCCTGCATGCCCCACACTGGGGATCGAGCCACAGCCTGGGCATATGCCCTGCCAGGGAATCAACCATGACCTTCTCGTTCAAAGGTCAATGCTCAACCACTGAGCCTTGCTGGCTGGGCTTGTTTCTCTTTATATTCTTCAGATACACTCAGTTTCCCCAGTGTCTCACTGTCTCACCACTTCTTCATGCACCATAGATCTCCTGCCCGGTTTGCCCATATATAGTCAGCACTGACATCCCCTCTTCTGAGTGCCAGGCACTGGGCCGGTCACTGGTCCCACTCCTGCAGTGTAAATGTAGTGAATATGCCTAACCTCCAGTTTAGAGCAAAGATATTAGTCTTTATTTTTTCAAAGAGCTTCAGGATCATAGCCGTGTGCTTGGTTTTCTGTAAAGATGGACTGGTAGCGTCTCCTCTCGGAAAACTCTGTGTGCACGTGAAATGTGACTATTTGAAGATCCTTATGCATGGAGAGATATAATTACTTAGATTCTGAGTCAGGACTGCACAGAACTCTTTCTCTGGCTCCTTCCAGTGGAGAATATGAATTTGGAGAATGTGAATATTCTGTCTGCTGGGGTCAGTGTCTTACTGGACTTCTAGTCCTTGAAGAGACTGGTTCTTGCCATCCCATAAAATGTAACTTTCTAATGGTCCCTGAAGATATACTGGGTGGGACCCAGGCATCAGTATGTTTAAAATTCCCAGTTGACTCCAATGCTCAGCCCAGTTGAGAATTATTGCTTTAGTGGCCTGTTCATGAGTAGGCCACAGGGGTATGTGACATCTCCAAAATTGGATATGAAAAAGTCTTTGTAATTTTCCAAAAAGGTGTATGACTTATCTCAGATTCCCAGAAATGACTACAATGAGAAGCAAGCCTACAGAATAGTCAATGAACATATATTCATAGCCCATGGATACAGACAACAATGTGGTTAGGGCCAGAGGGAGGTAAGGGCAGGGTCTGGGTGGAGGAGAGCACAAGAGAGGAAATGGGGGACATCTGCAAAAATTTCAACAATAAAAACAAAAATCTATAAACTACATCTCTGATGACATTGTGTACTGATAGGCTTGAAGTATCACAGTATCACCACATCTACTCGTAGTTCAGAATCTTTAACATCTTTGGGCCCTTCTAGGAGGCAAAATACAGAACAACACAGACATATCCTTTGTCTGGCGTGGAGGGACTAATTATCCCTCTGCCTTGTAACGTGCAGTCCAGACATCTGGGGGAGCCTGGGACAGAGCAGCTCTTGGGCATGTGTCTTTCTCTGCTCTCGGCTCCCTTGATCACTATGGCTGTATGCCTCAGGGGCTCTCCCAAACTGTCCACTGTGTTCCATCAACCATTAGTTCTACATGCATTCTTTTCTTCAACACCAAGACCTTGAATAATTTGCCAAGGTCTATGCATTTTCTGCCCTCTCTTTGCCCTCTCTAGTTGGAAGGAATAAATAACATGGTATGTGGTAAAAAGCCAAACACCACAATGGCTGGGAACTTCAGTCCTTGGAAGCAAATAGGAGATGAGAGGAATGAGCTCTTTGTGAGAGCATCCCCAACCAGTCAGTAAAAAATGAATGATTGAATTAGAATATTACTATTTGGTGATGCAGTGATTGAATGGGTCAAAGCATTGAGCATCTACGTCTGCAGATGTCACACAAAAAGAGGACATGTGCCCTCTGATGAAAGAACCCAGTAGCACCTTCTGCCAAGGGATGAATCCCAACCAGGCCTCTCTATCTGTATTCAGTTATCAGTGTGCAGGAAACAGGGAAGGCAGTGGAATGTGTTCAACTGCACCAAGACTGTGCAAGCAGCAAAATCTGGCACATTCTAAAGCCCGATCCCTGGGTTCTTCAGTAGTTAAAGCTATAAGGAAAAATAAAGGCCTGGAGGGGGAACCCAGATATTATAAGATACTTAAAAGACAAGTTAAAAAAATAATAACTCAGGCGGTGCATACTTATGTAAACTATACTAATAAAAGCCTAGGTGGCCCTCGCGCCCTTGCGCGACGCCATCATGTCGTCACAAGATGGTGGACCCCACGTCGTCACAAGATGGCCACCCCCACGTTGTCACAAGATGGCCACTACAAGATGACTGCCACAAGATGGCTGCCCCCATGTTGTCACAAGATGGTTGCCACAAGGTGGTCACCACAAGATGGCCAGCAGGGGAGGGCAGTTGAGGGTGATTGGGCTGGCAGGGGAGGGAAGTTGGGGGTGATCAGGCCTGCAGGGGAGTGGTTAGAGGGTGATCAGGCTGGCAGGCAGAAGTGGTTAGGGGCAATCAGGCAGGCAGGCAGGCAGGCAGGCAGGCAGGCGAGTGGTTAGGAGCCAGCATTCCCGATTGTAGGAGGGATGTCTGACTGCTAAGGGGTTCCAGATTGGAGAGGGTGCAGGCCGGGCTGAGGGACACCCTCCTAGTGCATGAATTTCATGCACCAGGCCTCTAGTAAAACTATAAAAAAGAACAAGGAAGTGATAACTCTGGTACCCAGTAGTTACTTTGTGGGGAGCAGAGAAGGTTGATATAAGACATATACATAGGAAGGGGATGCTCGGCAAAGTTCAATTTCTTGAACTTGGTGGAAGTTACAAGGGTGTCCACCTTATAATAACTCATCAAGCTATTAAAAATAATAATGTACATATGTTGAATCATTATGTTCTACACCTGCAACTAATATAATATGTGTATTATATCTCAAAAATAATAAGGATAACGATAGTGTTTGAAGCAAGGATAAATCTTGGAATATTATATATGCCAACAGGTGTTGAAAAGTGACATTTTCTCATGTAAATAACCATCATTTAGTACATGATTTCCAGTAGCTTCAGAGTATTTCCTCACAAGGATATAACATCATTTAGTTAACAATCCCATCTTTGGGTTGAGTTTAATAAATCTTGTTTCAGACTTCGAAAGGTCGAATACTACTGAGACTCCATCAGGATCATTTTTTTTTCCCAACAGATATTCATGAAATCTCATTTAGGTTCAGGTTACTGTGCTAGGCACTGTGTCGCTCACATTGGAAATGGTGCTGTGGCATTTGAGCATCCTCACATGTTTGTGACTCGGTTGCCCTCTAGTGGCTATTGCAACTCTGGATAGGGAGTGAGTCTAATGCAATAAAGAAACTTATTGGTATCATAAATCATAGAATTTGAGGCTGACAGATATCATGAGACTTTCTTTTGCTTAGTACTCCATGAAGAATGCATTATGAAAGAATAAATCACAAGATTCAGTCAATCTTACAACATTCAATAAAGGTCTCTAGAATAATAAATGATAATAACTTAATCCATTCATCCCCCTCAGTTCTGAAACACTTAAAGGTTAGATCTTATTCCAGATCAAAAGCAGTAAGTTCTCCATACATCTAAAGGGGAAAAAGTTATTCATGTGACATATCTATTAATCAACTAAATGAAATGCACTAATAAAAAGTTAAAACTTGATAGGGTGGTAGGGGAGCAGAGAGAAAGGAAAGACATGTAAGAAAAAAGAGACTGAGATACTGCATAAAAATCTGTGTGGATGATCCCATTTTTGTGGAATTATAATTTTAAAATTAGAAAAAATATAGAGTTGAGCTGCATCCACTGACTTGGAAGTGGTCATGATAAATAATTAAACAACAAAAAACTGAAGAGTAATAGGAATAGTGCAATTCTACTATGGCAAAAACAAGCACACACACTGTCTTTGTGTGTAAAGTCTTGTATGCGTAGATATGAGCAGTGGAAAGCAAGGAAGGGTTCAGACTCATCTGAGGGTTTGAGAGAAAGTGAGAGAACAGGGAGTGGGAGATGATGAACTTTTTACTTTATGCATCTTTGTATTGTTTTTATTGTTAAGAGGAACATTCGTTTTAAAAATAATCTAAAATAAGAATATGCCAATGTTCCTCCTCTTTCATAAATCAAAGGAAATGATCAACTGAACCAACCTCATACTCTGTTTCTTTTTTCAATTACAGTTTACATTCAATATTATTTTGTATTAGTTTCAGGTGTACAGCATAGTGATTAGACAAACACATACTTCACAAAGCGTTCTCCCTGATAGCTCCAGTACCCACCTGGCACCATACACAGTTATTACAATATTATTGACTGTATTTCCTATGCTGTACTACCCTCCCTATTTCTTTCTCTTCTCTCCACCCTGTACTCATCCTTAAGACTGTGTCACATCTTCCCCTGTAAGCTGAGAGTCTGTTACACTTTGTCCCTGCAGCTTCTCATCTGGCCAATGCTAGGCTTCCTATCAACATAATCCCTGTGAAGCCTTCAGATTCTTTAACATGTAGTCCTGGAGCTGTCTTAGTATTTCACCCCAGTTTTCATTACCAATCTATTTGTGTGCGTACCACTTCCTAGTCAAATAACTACATTTAATTGGAATACTTACTGTTAATCAGGCATGGAGTCTTCAGTCAGCTTGGGCTGATCCTAGGAAGACGCTCGCTTGATTACCCTCTCATCTCGGGTATGTCTACTGTGGACAGAGAGGGAGGAGGGGGCCTTTCTACCACATCCCCCAAACCTGCCCAAACCCCTGTGAGGCGTCCTGAGCCTCCCTTGCTCCACCTCGTCTCTCGGGGCTCCTTGCCACCGTCCCAGCGGCTCACGTTCTGCTACAGCTGCCAGCATGTGTGTCTTCCTATGAAGAGTGTGGAGTGTCTCAACAGTGGGGACTATACTTGTTATTATTTTTATATATTTAGTGCCTAGGATAGTTCCTGACACTTTCAGAAAAAGTTTCCCCTTCCTTCCTTCCTTCCTTCCTTCCTTCCTTCCTTCCTTCCTTCCTTCCTTCCGGCACTGTCCTTGGTGCTGACTTTGAGATTAATGTGTGTAGTCTCATTTCTCAAAACCATTCATGGGGAGGGGGGTGCGAATAGTAAAGAATACAGCAGAATTTGTAATATCTTATTCAATAAAGGGGGAAAAAAGAAAAAAAAGAATACAGCAGAGGAAAATGCAATAGCCATGCTGGAGATGCTATGGCTTTCAGCAGAAACTCAGTCTGGGAGTGGGAAGTCTTCCTGGAAGAGGTGACTGATGAGTCCTGCAGACTAAGGAGGAGTAGTTTGGTGGGGAGGATGGGAAAGGATTATTCCAGGCAGTGGGTACTCTACGTACTGGCAGCTGGAACTGCGACTGTATTTGAGGGGTGATTACAAGTATGCCAAGCAAAGAAAGGGGTAAGAGAGAAGCTAACAGGGCTCACAAAGGCATGCACTTCTTAAAATATCTGGTGTTGCCAAGGAAATACTGCTGACCAGATAGTCGTAGGCAATGAGGCTGGAAAGTCAGGGTGTCATTGGAGTGTGAAATAGCATTGGATGCCAACCTAATGGGTTCTGATTTTATCTCATTGGAAATGATAGCTAACAGATCTCGGGCTCCTCTGCCCCTGAATCTCATAGCTTTAATATATTTATTTTTTATTGATTTCAGAGAGGAAGGGAGAGGGAGAAAGAGATAGAAACATCAATGATGAGAGAATCATCAATCAGCTGCCTCCTGCACGCCCCCCACTGGGGATCAAGCCAGCAACCCAAGCATGTACCCTGGCTGGGAATCACACCGTGACCTCCTGGTTTGTGGGTCGATACTCAACCACTGAGCCACACCAACCAGGCTTGTAGCTTTATATTTAAATCCATTAATCAACAATGAAATGTAGAAAAATTATTTAATGCCCACTTTAGTCGAATTCATTGTTTTTTTAATGGCTATGAAGATGATGAGGAACATACGAGTTTAGAAGTCATAAATAGAAGAAGAAAACAAAGTGAGTAAAAGAATCATGAAAAAGATCCACTTTCAGATAAGTTGAACCAAAGGGAAATATGAGAAAGACTTTCTAAATCATGTGTGCTGGGCACTGTGTTAGCAGCCACACACACAGAAATGAATCTTGATTTGGCACTTTATTAACTAAATTACTTAATTTTCTATAGCAGTGTTATATGTTGCTTGTATTCTAGTCTTAGCTACTTTAAAGAGAAAGTAGACTTCAAAATTTTGTAAGTTTTAAAGAAACAGTTACATATGCAAAATTAATATATGTATGTGTCTGTTCATGTGTTTTCTTGGCAGGTCAATGTGAACCAATTACCTTGGAACTCTGCATGAATTTGCCCTACAACTATACACATTATCCAAATTACTTTGGCCACAGGACTCAGAAGGAAGCGTCCATCAGCTGGGAGTCCTCTCTTTTCCCTGCACTTGTTCAAACCAACTGTTACAAATATCTCATGTTCTTTGCCTGCACCATCTTGGTACCGAAATGTGATATGAATACAAGCCAACGTATCCCCCCTTGCAGGTAACACAGTGGGGTCTCTCCTATTACCTCAAACATCCTCATTTTCCCTTGGGGAGAACTGAAGGAAGGAAGACTTAGTCTGAGTTTAGACAAAGTGCGTATCTTGCCAAGGAGCTCTGTATTTAACAAATTACATATTTAAAAGGTAAGGAAGCAGGAATTAGAAAATGAATAATTGAATAAGAATTCATTCCTGAATGAGGGAGGTATAAAGTGCCTTTCATAATAGTTTCTGTCCTTCAATCAAATAAAATTACATGTGTGTCATTTTGGTTGATCAAGAAGTGTTTTGAAAGATGTGAGTTAGCAGAAGACCAGGTGTATCTGCCTCTTTCCCTGCAGCAATGCTGTGTTAAAAATGCTGCTTTCAAATATATATAATGATTTCAGAGAGGAAGGGAGAGGGAGAGAGAGATAGAAACATCAATGATGAGAGAGAATCATTATTTGGCTGCCTCTTGCACACCCCCCATTGGGGATCAAGCCTGCAACCCAGGCATGTGACTGGAATTGAACCATGACCTGGTTCATAGGTCAACACTCAACCACTGAGCCACAACGGCCGGGTTAAAATGCTGCCTTCTAGTAGCACTCAGAGGTTAGCTATGTACACCAGGAGTGGCCTGAAAGAGACCTAATGCCAGCTTCACAGGCTGGACAGGGGATGGACATTGCTGACAATTTCCTACCTGCTTGAGTTAAATAAGGGACAACATTTCAAGAGTGCAGCTTGTACTTAAGATATGAATGATATCTATGGGTTAAAGAGCGTTGCTATGGAGTCCACTGTCTAATGGAGTTCTGGCTCTTTTCAACCTGGTGTATAGCCTGAAACTGGTTCCTCAGGTTCTCCCAGCCTCAGTTCCTGTACCTCTATCACTGGATAGTGATGGTGGTTTTGAGATGAAACGAAAGTGCATAAATGCAATGTGCTGCTCATCGATTGTAAGCCCAGAACGTAGGGCACGATGCCCCGATGACAGGGCACGAGCACAGCTGCTTAGCACAGTGTGGTCCCTCTTCTATGCCAGGTGTTGGGGCTGTAGTCAGATATCGTGCATTTAGGAGTCAGCTATCTTGGAGGTGGGTGGCTGCTCTCCCCAGTGCTGTTTTCCATCAAAGGGTGAATCTACAGATGTGCTTGTCTCCATGTGAGTGGTAACTATGGAAACCATATGTTGAGATCAGAAGTCACTTAGAAGCTTAAGAAAAAGCAATAATGTCAATATGGTGGACAGATGGAAACGCAATAAATTATATACTGAATATCAGATGGATGACAAGGTAGGGGCACCTATAGAGAGGGGCAGGAAACAATAAAATTGCAGAATAACTTGAGGAACTGAACAATTCATACCAATAGAGTAAAACTTACTGTTGGTTTGTGCAAACATAATTCTGAAAATTTCTGTTAAATGCTTTTTGAAGTTCCACTAATAAAATACCTACCGATTTTATTCTACAGATTTCTAAATCTTATTTCCCTTTTGCTGGGCAAGGTCAATGATAGTGAATAATTGCTTTTAATAGTACTTAACAAATTCTTGTGTTGGACTTTCTTTTCATATGTATGTAAAAATTTCCCTAGTGCAGTATTCTCTGGAACAAATTTACATTCACATATAATTTATAATTTCAGGCTTAAATTTCATATCAAAATGCCTAAGATGAGGCTGATCCTGAAACATTTTGCTGAACTTCTTTTAGATACTTTAGTTCTGTTTCTTGGGTTTACACATACATATACATCTTTCATTTTCGGTGAATTTTACATTTTGATATTTATTTAGATGATAAAATTTTTATATTATAACAGGAATAATATCCTAAAATTCATGAAGCAATACATAGTTGCTTTTGTCAAGCCTGTTTATTTTAAAATTAGTTTTTAATTATGAATCAGAAAAATCTAACATTCTCAAGCCCTTACTTTGTGCCAAATACCTTAAGGCACTTCTGCCACCTCATCCTCAATATCACCTTCTGAGGGAGACCCCTGCCATCAGGTCTGCGGTTTGGCTCAGCACCACACAGATAGGGATAAGGACAGCGCCCCCTGCAGTTGCCGTGCTGTGTGTTGTACTATTTCCATTTTAAAGAAAAAAAAATAGGAAATGGTAGAGTCAAGCACTACAGTCTTTCATATAAATTAGGTATTATGTGATTAATTTAAAGTATCAGCAGCAATTGATTTATATACACTTTTTATAAATCTGCAACAAACTGTTCAATCCAACAGGCAGTTATCGAACACTAATTGAACTTCCTGTTTTTGCAAAACGGATGTGGGAGCGCCATGGATTTGTCACTTCCCCGCCCCACCACCACCACATTCCTCCTCCGCTAAACCAGCATGGAGTTATACTATGTCTTGTCCAGACTTAAATCTAGACAGAGCTTTATCTGCAACTTCCTGATTCAATTGCTAACCATTCCCCACCTTGTTGAAATTAACTTACAGTTTAAAGTTTGAGACTTTTGACAAATAAGAATGTATTTAAAAGGAAATAAGAAATTTACCCAAAAGCTTACTTTAGTTGTGTCTATTTTAAAAAAAAAATTATTTAACTAATTTCTTGGTGATATATTGAGGCAAAACCATGTCCCACCCCCATCCTTCAATAGGAAGTAAAGGCATCTTTCATGAGACATGTTGATACCTCAGGTTAATAATATTCTGGGTACAAATGAGAACACAAATGAAAGCACCTAGCATAATGCTTAGAATATATTTTCTTTCAAAAGAAAAAACACACAAAAAACCCAACAAACTTGATTTTAACCAACTTGAACTCAATATAGAGGGTTTGGGAGAAGTACCAAGCTTTTCAACAATATTGGTCTACGTGGAAGGAAGGAGGGGATGAATGCCATAGGTAAGCCCATGAACTGGCTCACACAGCTGGTCACCAGAGGGAGAGAACTCTGAGGCTGAGGGTGTTGTATAGATGCCATGACCATTGGTAGAAAACTATCCACACCAATATTGGGGACTTCCCAGCTCGGAACAAAAATGTTGGAGAATGTGTCTGTCTTAAAAAAAAAAAAAAAGAGGGAAAATGAGAAGGGACTCTGTGTCCTGGATGGTTAGGGTACAGACTCGCAACTAGGAGACAAACAGGCCATGGAGAATCTAGTGCACAGTCTAGTGAACATAGACAGCAATTTTGCGCTGAGGTCAAACTCACAGAGAGTCTAGATCTTAATTAGTCCAACCACAAAAAGAATTGATAATTATGTGATAAGGGTGCCAACTATAGCTACAACAGCGATTTTATTACAATATATAAACATATCAAATCAACATGTTTTTCTTGTTAAATTACACAACGTTACATTAAATAAAACACATACAATAGTTCTATTTCTGCAGTGAAGTTTCTTTTGGTGAAAGTATGCTGCTGGGATGTACTCCCTTTGTAGAGCTATTATTTGTTTTGGTTTCCCAAATACCTATTATGTGCAAGTGCCTCCATATACAGGGGTAGGCAAAAGTAGGTTCACAGTTGTGCAAATGGAAAATAATACAATGATTAATAAATAACAGTACAAGAATAAACTCTGTTTCACATACAACTGTAAACCTACCTTTGTCCATCCCTGTATATTGATACACATGCACACCAAATACATACACCACACACAGAGACACACCCACAGAGTATTAAAACCCAACACAGATTCCCAACATATATCTCAGGTGTAGTTATTCCTGCCTCTACTGTTTTGTCTTCCTTGCTCTTTCAGAGCTCTGTGTGAACACTCCAAAGAACGCTGCGAGTCTGTTCTTGGGATCGTGGGCCTACAGTGGCCCGAAGACACAGATTGCAACCAGTTTCCCCAGGAAAATTCGGACAATCAAACCTGCCTAATGCCTGATGAAGACGTGGAAGGTTAATTTATAAATTAATTTCTGTGGGGTATCTAATATGGATGAACATATTAGTTCCTTTTTTGAAGTCTCTCTGTTGCTATATATATATATTTAGTTGCCACTCAGGCTTCATAGGGCAGTGAATTGCTTTGAAATTTGATTACTTTGAAGAATTTGGTACTCATTTGTTAGACATGGTCTTTATTTTAAAAATGAATTGCAGAGATGAATTTAATAATGCAAGTATTTATTTTAACCACACTTAACTCACAGAGCCCATTACATATGGATGCTGCTCTTATTCTAGGGTTTCTGAAGGTAATAGTTAGGACTTGGTTCCTTCAACTGCAAAGCATTTGGAGGTCTTGGCAATATGGGAGCTTCAGGCGGAGAAACGGAATGGGGGACCAGTCCCAGGTGGAAAGACTAGAGTGGGCAACAGCCGTGACATGTAGGGCAGCTGGGTAGGTAGAAGCGTGGACTCCACAGGGCATTTTAGGCTCCGGCAGCGTTAGGATGTCCATTCAGGAAGAGCGTTAATTTCTGGAAAGTGATGACAGAGATGCAGGAGGAAGATGCTGATAAGCAGACAGAAGACGGCTGTTTCAACTTCGCAGAGGACCTGCCTTGTCTTCAGTAATCGCTCCTTGCCCACATTCCACACAGTAAGTAGACAAATGAGCTGATGGCCCTGGGTTTCTGTTTACTGACAGTAATGTGCCCCATTGTTTTTCAACAGAATGCTCACCTAGTCACTTCAAGTGTGACTCAGGACGGTGTGTGCTGGCCTCCAGAAGATGCGATGGGGAGCCCGACTGTGACGATGACAGCGATGAGGCAAACTGTGGTATGTGTGTGAGACGGCACTTTTCTTGAATACACTAACAACTGGTTGGGATAAGGGACTGTGTTCAAGAAATATCAACTGTTCACGGATAGTTCTAAATAGTGATTAGGATTGAATGCTAATATATTTTCTTCTTAAATCATCAAATGGCAAGGCATGAATTGATGTGTTTTCCTGTTAACTCGATTGATTTTCCCTAAATTACTCTTCTACCTAAATAGTGATTAGGATTGAATGCTAATATATTTTCTGCTTAAATCATCAAATGGCAAGGCGTGAATTGATGTGTTTTTCCTGTTAACTCAATTGATTTTCCCTAAATTACTCTTCTATTTATAACCTCAATGAAAAATCGGGTGTCCCAAAAATGTATACACACACTTTGAGTGATTATAATGGCAGGGGCTATTGAAATACATTTCATTTTTAAAACTGAGCCATCAGCTTTTAAAGTGTGTCTATGTTATTTTGGGACACTCTGTACATGCAGACCCTTAGTAGAAGGAGAAGCACGTCACTAAAGTAAGGAATTAGTTTTGTTATTAGATTATAAAGCAGTTGTCATCGGTCTTTGCATATGATCCCCATGCTGTTAGGTATCTAGATACAAAGAGACAGAGTTCAGGCTCCAATGTTCAAATTTAATTGGGATTTATTTTCATGCCCTCTCCAATTTTGCATCTATTGGCAAAGGGTAAAACTCTTTCTGGCGTTTCTGCCATTGAACTCCAAAATCACTCATGGAAAGGCCAGAAATGCCAATAGTAATTTAAGTGGCACTAATTCCCATTTTATTTCTCTGCAAACCTTTGTACTTGTAACCTCAGAATGTGTCAGGGAATAGAAAACAGACAATGCTTTTTACTAAATAATATTCTAGAGTAAGGCAAAACAACCGAAAAGCTATCCAAAGATTAGGTTGGTTATGATGATTTAGCTTATTCTGCTTTTTAAAATTGACGCTTTTTTTTTTTTACCATCAAAGCACATAAGGAAATACATCTTTTGAAATCATTTTATTCTTTTGGCCTTTTAAGTATAAATACTATCTTGCTCCCCAAAATGAATTTTCCATAATAAACAGTGCCCTTTTGGTCTAGACAAAATGTCACAATCAATCAATTGAAATCCTATCAGCTGCTATAAATATGGACAAGCGCATCTTCTAGAAAATTAGAACTGTCAGAATAATGGTACAATGACTGGGATAATTTTGTTAGGGAGGAACATACAGTGTTTTGAGAAGCTACTGTTGTTTGCTTGTTTGTGGTCTTTATGTAGAGAAATAAATCAAACCCATTGAATATTTCTTATCTGAGTGATTTATTGAGAATCTATTGAATTGTTTGCTAACTATGGCTTTAATGGGTGATGGTATTCTGAGATGCATTTTTACACGGATTATCTTAGATGATTCAAAGCAGTTACATGGTACCTACTGAGGTGGATACACCTAAATTTACAGTAAGGTACTAAACATTTGAGAAATTTAAAAATTTAGTTTAAAAGAAGAATCTTACCAGGACTAAAAGATCTGAGTTCTAGAATATACTCTGCAAAAAAAGAAATCCGAAGCACTATAGGTTTTGAATCATCCTAAAATATCAGGTTTCTCAGTAAGTAATGAGTTTTCATGAACACTTTAGTCACATAATCAAAGTGATACAAGAAGTTTTCTCATCCCTATCAAACACTCAAAATATTGATGCACTACTGAGAGATCTCATTAAGGAAATGAGAGTGGGAGGGGAATTAATACATTTGGAGTTACATTAATTGCTCCAACAGTATTAAGTCACGAGAACACCCACTACCTTTCCCAAAGTGACTGATAATAGAAAATTTACATACGTTCCCCTTTGGGATGTGTGCACACGTTGGAATGGGCAGGTCTGTTGCTCTGGGAGGACAGGGACACTCAAAATCAAATGAGGAAACTGCGTGGAGGAAGGCTCACTATTGGGAAATCACCCAGTTCCCATTTGTCTACCTGCTCAGTTTGTCCCTCTGCTCCTTGGCCTGCATGGGCATACCATCTGGCAATGCAGCCGCCAGCTCTGGCAAAGCTGGTTTCACCCCAAACTTCAGGTCTTTCTGCTTATTGTGTCCATTGTAGAGTTGTAGGCACTTAAATGGTTGGACTTCACTGACGAACGTGACAATTAACTATTCACTCTCTCACATCTGCAGTTCCCCCAGGAGTTCCAACTATATTATTGGGTTTCCCCTCAAAACAAGACTTATTTAATTATAAGATAATAGATGTTTTGGAAATCTACTTTGAGTCACTTTGGCACATCAGCAGGGAAATATGGTGGGCAAAGCATACCATTAATAAATACACTTTAAAATATATGCATTAGAACAGTGATGGCGAACCTTTTGAGCTCGGCGTGTCAGCATTTTGAAAAACCCTAACTTAACTCTGGTGCCGTGTCACATATAGAAATTTTTTGATATCTGCAACCATAGTAAAACAAAGACTTATATTTTTGATATTTATTTTGTATATTTAAATGCCATTTAACAAAGAAAAATCAACCAAAAAAATGAGTTCGTGTGTCACCTCTGACACGCGTGTCAGAGGTTCGCCATCACTGCATTAGAATTTAGCAATGAACAATGTTCTGAAGTCTCCTGCTCACGTGGTAAATTTTTGTTGTTGAAGTTGTTTTCACTGTATAATTGTTAATGTAAACGATATTTGAAAATCTGTCAGTATTAGGAATATTTTCACCAAGTGTTTGGAAGAATTTTGCAAATCTGAACACATCATTCCAGAATTATGGGATGGAACCTAATATTAGGAGTGATTGTTAAGTCAGCATTATTGGTACAGAAGACTTTATTGCCTTAAAGGTTGACAGTTTGTCATTAATTGAAATATACTATATAGATGGAGCTGCCTGTGAAACTAGCAACTTCATGAAACAAGCTGATTTCCAATCTAATATTTTCCAAGCATTAATACCTAAGCAATGAAGGAAAAGGCAAAGATCTGGGCAAAGAAATGAATAAGAATCACGTAAAAGAGAGGAGAGCTGAAGAAAATAACAATGGAATTATATTTCTGAGTTTTGCCTTCATGTTATAGATTTGAGTTTGAGACTGAGATTAGCTTTTGCTAAACCTGTGCCCACAATTTAGGTGAGTTACAAGCAGGAGCAAGGTGGTACCTGGGCTGTGATGTGAGCAGCAAGGCTTCTCAATGGGGCGGTCATGGGAATAGAGCTAAAACCGTTCCTTTATTTCTACTGTGGAAATAAAACCCGTTATTACATGAACACAGCACCACAATTCCTAATTGATCACGATTCCACATACACCATAGGGAGAAAGATTGACAGCAATACAAATGCCTGAGTGATGATGTGCCTTTCCGTTTCTCTTCAAATAACTTAAAAATCATTCCATTATCTATCTTTGGTTTCCTCTTGGGCTCAAATAAAATAAAATCTATAAATATAACCTGAATATTTTCTCCTAGTCCAAACCCCCTTAGGCTGTGTTTAAAGAGCCTTTGACTCACATTTTTGGGGTTTACTGCTTGATTTTAAGAGTTTTCCAAAAGATTCTTTTCTACCCAGTTGGTCACTTTAGCATCACACTGTAGCTTTGATGAGTGAGCATTGTCATTATCTCTGTGCCAAGTGGTTGTTATTTTGACACCAATGATGATTTGGTTTCATAACCTACAGCTGCATTAAACACTCCATCCCATGATACCTATTTTTAATTTTTTTTATTGATTTCAGAGAGGAAGGGAGAGGGAGGGAGAGATAGAAACATCAGTGATGAGAGAGAATCATGGATCAGCTGCCTCCTGCATGTCCCCTACTGGGATTCGAGCCCACAACCTGGGCATGTGCCCCAACTGGGAATCGAACCGTGACCTCCTGGTTCGTAGGTTGACGCTCAACCACTGAGCCGGCCGGGCCTGTTTTAAATTTTTAATGGAGTCCTGACCTTTTCCTTTTAAAGTATACATTTAAAATATCATTGTACCAAAAATGTCACTTTAAAGGGAGGGTGGTTTCTTCACAAAATAACAGGACTGTCTTCCATGTGATGAATGTCTTGACCTTTTCATTCTACTTCATGTATGCTTTACTATAACTCCACGAAGGAGGTGTGAGGCCACACAAACTTTTATTACAAAACGGAAGATACAGAAGAGGAAATTAATCTTATCAAGTACACATTTAATCTTTTGTGTCAGGCACTTTTATTACTATTTTAAAGATATGAAACCGAGGTTCAGAGAAGTTAAGAAACTCATCCAAGATCACACAGCAAGTGAGATTGGGGCTAGGATTCAAGTCCAGGTGTCCAACTCTGAAGCTGTGCTTCCCTCATGCCTTTTAGGGAAGAACACAACTAAAGATCTGAACCTGGATCCCAACTGGATCTTTCTTGAAAAAGCTGGATTTGGAGAGATTTATTTATTTTCTCTAAATTTCACTTGTAAAATGGTGATGGTAATACTGATGTTGTAGGTCTGCACAGATCTAGAATTTATAGTGGGTAGTGAATGTCTCTTATGGTCATTACTTTTTGTGAGACGCAGGCCTTATGTCTCAGAAGATCTACTTTTGTGGTCTTTCATTAGCTCATTCCAAAAGTCCACGTTCTTCTTCCTACTCGAAGGAAGGGAACCTTGTGAATAGTCAGAAAGACTCCTGCTTTTTCTCCCTTTCTCCCCACACAGTGGGGCTGTGATGAGAGAAGCAGCCCTTAGAACGGGCGGCACTGTGGGATGCTGACACCTCTGTGTTGATTTCCCCCGCTCTGCGGTGGAAGCGGCACACTGTGCCATTTGGCAGGGGCTGGGCCCTGAAGGGCAGACTTCCGGCTCCTTCGCAGATCTCCTGGGACCCCAGGGGCTGCCATTGTCAGAACATTCCA